AAAAAAAAAAAAAAAAAAAGCTACATTATGTGCTATCTCATAGATTCCAGTTTTTATTCTAAAATTTTGAAACTGTTGGTATTATATTAATAACTACAATTATATTTTTAATTTTTGCATTGTCTTCTTTCTAATGATGTAAAATACTCATGGATTGCCTAAACTTTGTGCAACCTTTAGATATTTTCAAATATTTGATATTCAGTATTTTGTTATTTAAATATAGTAAAACCTGTGAAAGCCAGAATTACATGGAACTCTAAACTTTTTATCTTAAGGAATTTTTCCATCTTAGGCAAACTGGAAACAAAGAAAATGCTTATTGTTGTTTGCTTCATATCTAGTAGGATTTGTTGATATGTTTATGGATTACTCAATCCACTTTTACCTAGATTTGTCATAACAGTCAAGTTCCTCTTCAGTCGATTTTACAATTCTTTTTCTGCATTTTTTCATCTCATAATTAATTACAAAATATTTTCATTGATTGTCTGGGATGTTGGTCTATCTGGGAGACCATGAAATCAGATATTTCCATATGGTAAAAATAGGCATGCCTGTTTATTTAGAGGAATGTTGGCATGTCAGTTTATGTGAGGTCATATATCCTTCTTCAGAGGGTGTGTAAAAAAAAAACAAAAAAAGCTACATTATGTGCTATCTCATAGATTCCAGTTTTTATTCTAAAATTTTGAAACTGTTGGNAAAGTGTATTTATTTCGTACCTTTCCGCTCGCGGGACATTGTACTTGTCGCAACGAAACACCACACTATCTCATAGATTCCAGTTTTTATTCTAAAATTTTGAAACTGTTGGCATTATATTAATAACTACAATTATATTTTTAATTTTTGCATTGTCTTCTTTCTAATGAGGTAAAATACTCATGGATTGCCTAAAGTGCTTTTTTATGATTATTTTATTGATCCAATTTGATCCAAAAACATAAACAAAAAATAACCGTATCAAATTTCAGAAATTTACTGTAAATTGTCTCAACTTTAAGGATTAATATCTGCTTTGTGTGCAATTTAACACGATGTTATCTTTTGAGATCAGCAGTGGTGATATTCAGCGGGTTCGCACAGGTTTGGCCGAACCCGTTGTTAACATTTTCAAAGTTTTCTGAACCTTGTTAAACACACGTAACATTTCTCAGTGGTTTTGTTTCTTTTAAAAAATATATTAAAATATACGTATTATAACTGAGGTACACTTACTCAGCAGTATGTAAATAAAAAAAAACAAATTAAGGTGTTGTGTTTTTTGATATACGTATTATACTAAACTAGAGCCTTATACCCCGTTTGCCTTGGTGCAACCTCCCTCGACCGTTTCAATCTCGACTGAAACGAGGTTCAATCGCGATTGACTCTAGAGAGTTCTTGAAACTAGGGGTACATTCGTAAAGTCAAACGAGTTAAACGCGTTAGTAACGAATCGTTCGAATAGTAGTAGTCAGTGCGCATGCTCTGCGATGATGACGTTTCGAATGAAACTCTAACGAAGTTCACGAAGGAAAGAGTTAGTTTACTTCGTTAAGAAAATGGCGCCCGACGATATCGATGTTTCTAAATCTACTCGAGTGTTTAAATTGTGAATTAAAAGATGAAATGATTGAAGTAACTGTCCACCTGAAGCAATCTAAGAAAAATATTTCAGATAAGGCTGTACTAGCAACATTTGTATCTTCGATTTTAGAAACAGCCATTTAGTTCTAAACGAATCATTCGAAAAGTCTAACGAAATAAGAATAACGATGATGTCATTCTCGTTTAACTCGTTTGACTTTATGAACGTGCCCTAAATCCAGTCATAAGAGAGATTCCACAATCCCACGCATGCGAGAAAATACAAGATGGCTGCGGAACACGTGTAGGGCTATCGACAGCAAAATAAAAAAGATATTGTATTTCGAGAGATGATGACATGTGTCTATTATTAGATATATCACAAGAAAAAGTATTGTATTTATTTCTAACAGAAACTTCCATTTTGTTTGTCAGTGTTCGTGACTTACCGCGTAGTTATGTCAGTTTTATCATCGCGTGTAATATATATCTTTTTTTATTTATATGGGCATCTTAAGGTCAGTTTTGCGCTAATGTTGCTAATACACCATTTGAGCGAAAAAAAATTGTTAAGGAAAAATTTTCTGTTAGCGAACCCTTTGTTAAATATTTCGAATATCACCACTGGAGATCAAGGTAGTAAAACCTTATTACTTTTGCTGTGGATAATCAGTACAGACAACACTGACTAACTACTACTACTACTACTAATGTCAACAAGATGCTAATTGTTTTCTTACCCTGTAAATGAAAATGCTCTCCCTGGTTGTAAGTTGGTCAAATTACAATGTTGTTATTCATTGTCCCTGGGAAGAATGTTTTTTTTAACATTTATTTAACAGCTAATTTTTTTAGATCTGATTAATTTTATTTTCCAATTAAAGTTTAACTGGCATGCCAGTAACCCTGGGATTTGCAGCATGCTGGTCTTCCATCATTGTGTGAAATGGTGGTCAACTGCAAAAATATGGTAACACTTTTAATATGCTTCTTTGTAAAGATGTTATATTAAAATCCTGTAAAATCTTATATATTTGTACCTTTTTTTAAATAAAATTCCAACTCGTTTATAACAAAATTTTATAGATATTCTAATTTTCTATAAATTACATAAAATTTTCCCATGAATGACACCTCATACACACATTCATTTGCAAATTCATTACTACCTTCTGTTTATAATCTCATCTTCATCCTGTTTACTTTTACTTCTTCTATCCCTATCAGACAAATATGTATAACAACAGCTCATGATAATTTTTTATCTTTTGATCTTTTATTAATTTTATTATTTCTAAATGCTTGTAAATTTTTTTTAATTATTTTTTTCCTTTCCTGGAAGACAGTAATAAATTTGCAAATGAATGCAAGTGTGAAGTATCATTCATGGGAAAATTTTATGTAATTTATACAAAATCAAAATATATATAGAATTTTGTTATAAATGAATTAAAATTTTATAAAAAAGTACAAATATATAAGATTTTAAAAGGTTTTAAATTAACATCTTTAGAAGGAAATATTTTGAAATTGTTAATTAATTATAAGATAAACAAATGTTAGAAAAACAATTGCAAAAATTGACTGAAGAGAGACTAAAGTCCAATATATTTGGATTTTAAATGAAAGATATTATAAGAAGTCTGAATTCTCTATTAAGTCAACCATTATGATAAATCAAGATATAAGTAGATTGAGTAATTTATAAAGATGTCAAAAAAAATGCTTACTGCTTCATAATGTGAACATACTTTTTTTACTAGGTTTCAAACTATATATTGCATCTTGTTTGATATATTTATTTTGTCTGTGTCTAGAGAAGGCTCGCAAACTGGTGTGGAAGTACATCTGATGGCCCAAGACTACAACAAACCCACTGCATGTTTATTGACAATATATTCTCTATTATTCTGGCAATCTTGTACGAGTTTATGTTGCTGTCTAGCAACAAGAATGCTTCAAGAATTGCTTATATACTTATTTTTGACCATATAGAATATGTCAGTGCTCACTTGGCCTATAGATAATCACTTACACTTGTGGCAATACCCTCATGTTCTGGCACCAATTATCCTCTAACTATATCATAAAGTATTTTCAAAGAACTTCTGATGGTTAAGACATGAGATGATAACTGTCGTCATAACAAGTCATAAATTCATTAGTTTTTCATTAGTATGAAGTAAATTTTGACAACTTAAAATAATTATATACATTTAAAACAATAGTCCTATTTTGATTATGCAATGTTTCATTTTGTATACACACATCACAATTACATTCTGTCATTTTGTTAATGAAATAAAAACTAAAGATGATGTCATTACAATTTACTTCACTTTTTAAACTCTGTAGTATGGAAAAATTTATTCTATGTTAATTAAAATAGCACTTCATTTTAAAAATTTCTTGTAAAATATAAATTTAAATAAACATTGTAGAATGTATTATTGTAGATATAGCTTTTATTTCACGACATATAAAATGTATGAGATAGCATAGATATGCTATAATCATTATTATTATTGTTATGATTTTAGTGTGATTGAAGGTGTTCATTGATTTGGCAAGTGAAAAACATAATATCAAATGTGGTCCACACATTAATGTACATTGTTTATTAAAGATTTTTCACAAAAATGAATAATAACTATTCTGTTACCATTACAATGGATAACAGTAACAGAATGGTTAATTTAAACAAAATAGTAATTTTGTTTAAATTGATTATTCAGCAACATTAATTATATCTTCTTTGTCAGCTGTACTTGAGGTCCCATCATGTCAATTTGTTCTTAAATTTTTATACGAATCATGTTTAATGGGAGGAATGAAAAAATTATTTTTAGTTTTATCCATCTTGATATAACAGATATAACTTTTTTTTTTCTAAAAACAATTGTCACCAAAATTAAAACAATTGTTCAGTATTCCACAAGTATACTTACTTTTGTGGCAGTTTGACTGTAATTAATTTCTTTTACTTACTTTTTATAATGAGATAACATTAAATAATTTACTGTTATCTACAAAGTACTGGTCACTGCAGCATTGCAATCGCAGTGTGCACTGGCAGATTAACATTACAGTATGGAGTTAATTAGATTGGCTTCTGAAATAAATAAGATATTTTTTGATGGCCAATAAAATTTTGTCATTAAGTGGTATTGATCCTTATTATTAGGAAAACTTATTACAAATATAAAAAGTTATGAGTATATCAAGTGCTTTCACGCTAAAATTTAAAAAAGGTTTGAAATGTGGAGTTATAACAATCCATGAAAACCTTTTTTTACAAGTGTTATGTCCGTAGTACACTCCACAAATGCTTTCAACCTCCACCAAGGTCTGCTTCACGTGGTGACTGACTGTATTTTCTCCTGACCATCATAACGATGTTGCCAGAGATGTAAATAATTGTGCGTGTTGGGTTTCATCCCTCTGACTGTTCCTGTTCGAATTCCTCAAACAAATACCTCCATGCCTGCGCGATCGTTTCACCATCTTTGAAGTTGATGCAGGTGCCCCCACTATTAGCTTTATGAATCTCTCAGGCCTCCAGGTGTCGGATGTGATCAGGTCAGAATGCTTGTCTGATTAGTCTGGTGTTCTGGAAGTCCGCCCTTATATCAGGGTCGGTAATGGAGGTCGATAAGGCGGTGGTGTGCCTGTTATTTTTAATATCTGCTTGATGTTCTTGTATTCGTTTTTGTGTCGAGCGGATGGTGGAGCCAATGTAAACCAAGTCCCTATGAAATCTGTCATCCCTGATGGGAATGGAGTGTACACCTGGGGCCCTGCTGAGATCCATCGCATCCTTGGCGTTGTGCAGCAGGTCGTACACTGTGCCGGTTCTCATGTATGCAATCTTCATGCGGTTGCGGCAAGCAATCTCCCTGTATAGGGGGTCTAAATGTTGGTTGAACCGGACGACCACACGCTTAACGTTTCTACCAGGTTGGTGGTTGTCGTTGGGTGAAGGCAGGGGACCATCATTGCGGCGAGGGGGATGGTGGGCATAGGCATGGGCTAAACCGCGGACCATGCCTTTACTGTAACCATGCTCAACGGTAATTTTTTCTATGTAACGGTGCTCTAAACGGGTGTCACGCTCATTAGTGTGGTGAGTGAAGGCCCGTCTGGTAAGGGCATGGCGCAGTGATGGCCCCCTGCCTTCGCCGGACGACAACCACCAACCTGGTAGAAACGTTAAGCGTGCGGTCGTCCGGTTCAACCAACATTTAGACCCCCTATACAGGGAGATTGCTTGCCGCAACCGCATGAAGATTGCATACATGAGAACCGGCACAGTGTACGACCTGCTGCACAACGCCAAGGATGCGATGGATCTCAGCAGGGCCCCAGGTGTACACTCCATTCCCATCAGGGATGACAGATTTCATAGGGACTTGGTTTACATTGGCTCCACCATCCGCTCGACACAAAAACGAATACAAGAACATCAAGCAGATATTAAAAATAACAGGCACACCACCGCCTTATCGACCTCCGTTACCGACCCTGATATAAGGGCGGACTTCCAGAACACCAGACTAATCAGACAAGCATTCTGACCTGATCACATCCGACACCTGGAGGCCTGGGAAATTCATAAAGCTAATAGTGGGGGCACCTGCATCAACTTCAAAGATGGTGAAACGATCGCGCAGGCATGGAGGTATTTGTTTGAGGAATTCGAACAGGAACAGTTGGAGGGGTGAAATTCAACATGCACAATTATTTACATCTCTGGTGACATCGTTACGACAGTCAGGAGGAAACACAGTCAGTCACCACTAGGGTTTCTTTCCCGGGATTCCAGGATCCCGTTTTCCCGGGATTCTCGCCGTTTATTCCCTACGAGAAAAATCCCAGGAAATTTTATTTTCCCGGGAAATCTCGCATTTCACTAATAATTTATCATGTCAGGTTTTCTTTCTATTATTTATTATACGAAAATTTGCATCTTGAAGACTCACCTAAGAGAGAAATTTTGAGGTTTCTTGCTGCATATTATTACCTATGTTTTACAAGTCTCTACTTGTTAGTTCATGTAATATTGAACAGTAGAGACTTGCTGAAAGTAAATATCACTCATCGCACTTTAGTTTATTTTTTTATTTCATCTTTAGAAGTAAAATAGTATTTTTTTTTCGTAATCATTAAAACTCCCAATGAAACGCTTTATTTTACTTTCATCTTATAATGTAGGAGAACATAAGTTAATTGAGCCTAAGTGTCCATATGGGTGAGATTGGCCCTACACTTTTAGTTACTTACTAGAAAATAAATTAAATTATTCAAATTTATGATATTCCTGTATGATCTTTTTTATTCATATAAAATTCTATTTTACTATCTCATCCCGGAATTTCCCGGGATCCCGGGAAAAGAAATTATTTTTCCCGTAATCCCGCTGGAGGCAAATTTCCCGGGAAATGAGAAACCCTAGTCACCACGTGAAGCAGACCTCGGTGGAGGTCAAAAGCATTTGTGGAATGTACTATGGACATAACACTTGTAAAAAAAGGTTTTCATGGATTGTTATTATTCAATGCAGTGTTAAGTTGTTGGAAGTCGTTTGTCAATGTGGAGTTAATTGTTTTGACTTGTGAATGGCTCAAATAACAACTGAGGTAAGCAATTTTGTTGTTTGCTTTAGGCAGTCATCCTTATAAGCTTCATTAGAATGGTGCCAGACAAAAGCTCCAGCATCATCTTCATGACAAATGCAAATTCATGATTCATCACTGAATAATGTTGTCATCCAATCATCTACAATCCATGATTGGTTTGTTTTGGCCTATTATAACCTTGTTTTTTATATTTAGGTGTTAGTGCTAGTTTTTATTTTGCTTTTGTATATGAAAATCTCATTTCTTTCAAACAATTCTCATTGCTCTGTCACAGACAGTAACATCTGCATTTTTTCACTTACTATTCATCTCTTTTGTTGTATATTTTCTATTTTCAAGACATATTTCTTTTAGTTTCCTAATCTGATGCTTTGAAGTCTTTCATGGTCAAACAGCATATTTTCCTTTTGTAATATTCCTAGCTTGTTATACTTGCACAAAATTTTAGATTTAGCTTACTGTGAACAATCTTCTGCAACAGTCCTTGTTGAATTGCCTTCTTTAAGGAATTTTACTATCCTTTCCATTATTTTCATGGCTAATTCCCTTCTAAGTGTCATGGGTTTGTTACATTAACAGAAGAGTAAAGCACTTGGGGCTATAAGCATTCACTTTATATTCAGACTTAGCTTACTGTTTGCTTACTGAACAGTACAGAAAGCAATGTTTTAAATTTGTTAAATATAAGATGATTCCATAATTTTTTCCTCAATTTTAAATGATTTCAAAATTTTTGGTACAGAAATTTTATAGTAATTTTCTGTAGAGTATTACTATATGTTGTAATGGAGATTATCCATACAAAATTACAGTGGATAAAAAATACTGTTATTTCCCACTTAAGGAAATTTAAAAAAAATTCTATGACATAACAGAAAGATAAAAATCAGGAAATATTATACCTACTGATGAATTTATTTTTTATAGCTTTTCTACTACTAATATTGAGAATTTACGAACACTAATAATTTAATCCACAATGTGTCTTGTTTTATGAAACTGCAAAATTGCATATCAACAGAAAAACATTGGAATTTTTTGCTATCTACTGACAACAGAAAATTGTATTAATACTGCAATGCAATATTTCCAGAATAGCTTTTATGGAACTTTTATTAAAGAGTTCTAAATTCAAAATGGCCAGTCACTGTACTGTTTGCCTAATTTGGCTCTGTATTCAATTTTTTGATATTTTAATTATTTTTATGTAAAATTTAAGTCTTCAGTAACAGCCATAAACTAATTTTGTTGCAATCCAGCAAACATTGTAGTGATCCAAGATCAAATATTTAATGTGTCTTTTAATTCAATGTAGGATGAATCAGTCAATATATATTNTATCAACAGAAAAACATTGGAATTTTTTGCTATCTACTGACAACAGAAAATTGTATTAATACTGCAATGCAATATTTCCAGAATAGCTTTTATGGAACTTTTATTAAAGAGTTCTAAATTCAAAATGGCCAGTCACTGTACTGTTTGCCTAATTTGGCTCTGTATTCAAATATATAATATTTTTATAACTTTTCAGATGAATTTCAAAAACAAATATCATCAAGAAATGCTAAATATTTATGAAGAAGTAATTAAAATTATCAAAAATTTGTACATTATATTTGAAAATGATGGATCAGAAGTAAGGATATTTTATATTTAATTAAATTTCATGTAATTTTATCAATATTTTACAAGATTAATGTCACTAATAACACTGTACTAATAATAATAACTCAACACACAAATAACAGACCCCACTAAGCTAAGCAATCATGGGCCCAAAATGCACTTCATGGCAGGCATGCCTACGACCTAGCTCAGAACTATGCTGACAAAACTGCATCAAAGTATTGACTGACTAGGAGCTGTCTGTTTGGAGAGACTGGGGTTTATGGTAGTCATTCAAGATCAGGTCATAAACACTAAAAACTACAGAAAACACATTCTGAAGGATACATCACTCACAGATGACTCTTGCAGAAAATGCCACATTCTACCAGAAACAGTACAATGTATAACATATGGCTGCAAGCTCTTAACACAAACACACTATTTATATAGGCATAATCAAATAGCAATGGCATAGGGACATGGTGACCTCACCATCCAGGTAAATGGTGCAGTTATAAACCCTGCAGTGGGGTCACCATGCAGGTTCACAGGTAAATGGCAAAAACAATGGATGTCATCACTCTTGCCAACTTGCCCTGAGGCAGGGCGGTAAGGTATACCTCACCAACCCCTGCACGACATGATACAAGAAAAAACATGACCCTTATTCTCCATAGACCTGAATGACCCTGGGATGGGTAGAACTCAGGAACCAGTCAGGAGGGTGCTAAGAATCTGCAGAGTCTAAATCATAACTACTCACACAAAACTACAATGCTCTACATAGCAACATACAACTGCCATACACTGTCAAATCAAGCTAAACTCATAGAACTGGAAAAAGAGACAGAAAATATAAAGTGGGAGATCATTGGAATCAATGATATTAGGGAGAAAGATGAAGAGCTATTAGATCTAACAACAGGCAATTCCCTTTACTTAATTTCCCTTGGCACTGACAGGCAGAACAAGTGGTGTAAGTTTCCTAATTAACAAGAAATGGAAAAACAGAATAATTGACATAATGCATATCTCAAATTTAGTAGCCAGCTTTACTTTACAACTTACAAAAAGATACAACATACAGATTGTATAAGTACAAGGTCTGTTCAAAAAGTATCGGACCTTTGGTCGGCAAAAATAAATTTATTGACTTTGAGGTACAAAACCCTAATCCCCTTCAAAGTAGTCTCCTTGGTAATGTATACACTTCTCCCAGCGTTCCTGCCATTGCTGGAAACACTGCTGGAACGCATCTTTTGGAATGGTTATCAGCCGGTCCGTCGCATTTCGCATGATGTCTTCTCTCGACTAAATTTGGGTTCCTTTTAGCGGCATTTTCAGCTTGAGAAATAGCCAAAGGTCACATGGAGCCATGTGGAGAGAGTACGGAGCGTGACGAACCACAGGAGTATTGTGTTTGGCGACGAAAGCCCGAATCAGATGCGCAGAATGGGCGGATGCGTTATCACAATGGAGCTGCCAAGTTTTGATCAACCACAGATCCCATCGTTTGCATCGCACTGTATCGGAAAGACGACGAAGGACCTCCTGGTAGTACTCCTTTGGGATGGTTTGGCCTTGTGGTGCGTACTCACGACACACCACCCCACGAAAGTCGAAAAAACTGTCAACATGACCTTTGATATTGCTGCGGACCTGCCGCGCTTTTTTTGGCCTCAAGGATCGTCCCCGAAAGCCTGCTGAATCTTGCGAATGGTTTACACTCGGGTATCGCCAAGGTTTTTGGCAAAATTTGATGTAATATCGCTGCTCACGTTGTTCAGTCATTTTCCAGCTTAGTGAAATCCGACGAGAGCGCACTACATGACCTCACTCATACGCCGATTGCCAACGACTGACGCTTTCTGCAGGCGGGAAAAAATTCAGGGCTGTGCATGACTGTCCCCTCCACAACTCCACCGAAGGAGGCCTCTCTCGCATCATTGGTTTATGCGGAAAAAAATAAGGTCTGATACTTTTTGAACAGACCTTGTATATGCTCTTACAATTTCACACCCAGATGAAGAGATAGAGAAATTCTGTAACGATGTAGCAGAGACACTGAACAATAATAGAAGCCATTTCAAATATCTAATTGGAGACTTTAGTGCCAAACTGGGAAAAAGAGACAACCAGGAACAAGTAGTGGAGACCTATGGATTTGGTGAAAGGAACAAAAGAAGAGAAAGACTGGTGCAATTTGCAAGTTACCAGAACATGTAAATATTGAATACATTCTCCAAGAAGAACCCGAACAGAAAATGGACATGGAAAGCACCGAATACAGTGACTAAGAATGAAATTGACTACATTCTTACCAACAAGACCCACACAGTTAAAGATGTCAACGTTCTTAATAAATTCCAAATAGGCAGTGACCATTGACTAGTCAGATTGAGAATTGTCTTAGATTTAAAACTAGAAAGACTTGAGTTAGTCAGAAAACCAAGAATATTAGGAATCAATGTCCATAACCTAATGGAAAATTCAGATCAGTACCAAAGGACACTAGACAAAAGACTATATGACCAAGTCAATAGCTTTCAGCTACTGAAAATCATTCTCAACTATGCTAAGAAGATAGGAGGACCACAGCAAAAGATGAACACAAGAAATTGTCTGACAAAACTAAAGATCTGTTAAAACACAAACAGGAAATGAAAGCAAGTACTCATACACAGAGAACAGAATACAAAGAATTATGTAAGACAATAAGGAAACAGATAACAGAACATATTAGGAAATTCAATTAACAACTGATTGAGAATGCAATTGAAAATAGAAAAAGTTATAAAAGGATAAAAAGAATGCTAATCATGGGAAAGAAACAAATAATTGCACTGGTAAACAAAAACACCAGGTCCACAAACAGAAATGAAATAATTCAACAAGTAACCAAGTTTTACAGTGAATTATAAAGCTCCTGAGATGCTTGGAGAAGAAGCACTTCACAATGGAGAAAACATCCCAGAGGTTCTTATGGAAGAAATAGAATCAACACTTAAAACTATAAAAAATGGTAAGGCAGCTGGTAATGATGGAATAACAGCTGAAATGTTGAAGTATGCTGGCAGAAAGATATGGAAAATCTTGGTGAATATATACACAGAATGCCTATGGTCAAGATGCATACCAAATCATTGGAACAGTGCAAATGTAATACTTATCCATAAGAAAGGCAGCAAAGAGGACATAAAAATTATAGACCCATAAGCTTACTCCCAATTACAGTAGAGCGTCATTTATCCGAAACCTGGTTAACTGAAATGTTACACCATATGTTACACCATAATTTAAAATGGTAGAATAAGCTGAAGAAGATGATGATGATGACTCAAATAGCAAATGAGCAAGAAAACTTGCAAAAAACGGATTATTAGACACCCAGGTACCAGTATAAGAAAATGACACACACAAATGTGAGGTCCAGGACAGAGTTTGAATCTCTCACAAAACATGCTTAAAAATGTTTTAATAATGACAAAAGAATGTGTAAAATGAATCCACTGTGAAAGTGTAATTGTAATGATCAAACCTGTGAGAACCTGAGTTCAGGCAATATCATGGGGTTGGAATTCTAATAAGTGTCAATCAGGAAAATTGAACTTTGAACTTTGTCTCTGATGCTCACAAAAATGACTAACTCTGAACATTTCCTGCTAATTTATATGCATCAATTCATCCCTGTTCATAAAAGGATAAAATTTTTGTTTTCCCCATACTTAAAATTGCAGTTCATACACACATCCTTCAGTCATAGCGTAGGAGTTGTCTCTAATTTGCACATTACTTACATAATATCATTGTATTTTAGTTTAATTTGTGGAAATTAATAACTGTCTGAATAAATTTGAAATAGTTTATTTTGATATCTTTTTATTTTTGATATCTGTAAAGCAACAGTACCATAAGTTTTTTTAAATTATTTATTATATTATGTTAAACCTTGGTAAATAAATGTTGTTTTGTATGTATTGGACTTTAACAATGCATTGCTTTTATTATTAAGTTGCTATTGATGGAAGTTTGGATAAATATGAAACGGACCTTACAGTTTTATCATTAATAAACTGAAGACTCATGTTTGAAAGGCTCTAGTTTGATGACTCAGGCAGTGAACTACTTCCCCCATGTTGTAAAGTGACAAGTTGTGATGATTGTGTTATTATAGCAAGAATTTTGTTGTTTTCTGTATGTTTTATTTTATTTTATTCTTGGAATAAAAGCAACATTATCGTTGCTAGTACAGGACAAGTATGACTCTGATTCCTAGATAAAATAAATGATGACTGTCCAATGAAAATGTTCAAACTTATGTCTGCTTGCAATTACAGCTGTTATGTCTCAATGAAAGGGATGTGTCTTATTAATATGCTTTTACCATAAGCTTTTACCTTAGACCTTTTACATTATTAATATGCTTTGTATATTGTATCCACATTTCAGTTTGTCTTATCAGTAATCTAATCTACTGTATAGTTTGGGATTGACTTATACAGCAAACTTAGGTCTCAAACTTTTAAGCAAAAACATTGAGGTTAACTTACATATTGGCACATACAATATATATTAAATTTTTAAAAAGCCGTGATAAGTTTTAAAAGAAGAAAGAACTTGTAAAAATAAGTAAAAAAGTTGTAATAAAAGTAGGTCTCCAAATTAACTGCTTCCAGGATAAATTATATTTTTGCTGATTTATGCACAATGATGCACCAGCTCACTTTTGACTATATGTAAAAGAGTATGTAATTGAAAGATATAATGCAATAAGGATAAGATGAGGATTTTCTAGTTTAACTTCTCAGCTTAAATTGTATGGATTTTTGTATTTTGACATATTTGAAAAGTTTGGTACATTCAGATTCTGTAGATCCAGTGGAAAAAATTACAGCGTATTGAAAATGGCAGTTTTCAAATTAGAAATGACCCAGAGATGTTTGAAAGAATTAAAGCTTCTGTGATGAGAAGTATTCAAAGTTGTGTTTAGCTGCAATGGTAGTATTTTGAACATCTGTTATAAAACAGATGTAAATTGTCCAAGTAAAACTTTAAAATGATGGAAATTGTAAAAATGCATTATTTGAATAGAAGATTGTTTACCAGTTTCAAGATTTTTGTTCAAGAGACTTTCTTTTGACATTTGCAACATGCATTTGAAAATATCATTTATCTCATAAATGGCTGATTTGTAGACTCATTTTTTACTAGGATGTTCTTATTTATTTTGATGAGTTCTTCTCATTCTTAAAATTCTTACATGACTTTTTAACTCNAAATCCAAAATATTATATAGGGAAAACTAGTTGTTTATTAGAAGTAAGAATAAAAGAGCATGAGGCTGCTATTTGGCTGGGATACAATAACTCCCCATGGTACACTCACATAAAAAATAATAAATGTCAAATTAATAGAAATAATATAAAAATTTTACATTTAGAAAAGGATACATATAAAAGAAAACATCACAAAGAAAATTTAGTTAATATTTCAGATGGTATGTTAATTGACCCTCAATGGTACAGATTAATAGAGGGTGCTTCAACATGTTAAACATCATAATTAAAGCACAGTCTAAGATCCATTGTATGGTTTGTTTGGATAAATTAGAATTACTGGATAACATCTTTTGTCTGTATGTTTTTATGTCATTGGTGTTCAAGAATTTAATTGTAAAGTAATTAATTCTTAATTTTAAATTATAGTATGTTATGTTATGTTATATTAACACTTATACAGTCTTTGCTTGGGAGAACTGATACACACTATAGTATATATTTATGAAAAATCTTTTTAGATTTAGCTACAAAAATATTTTATGTATTGATTATTCCTGATGTCTTTCTTTATGATGATATTTGGATACATTATTATAAACAAGAGTTAAAAAAAAGCATAGATTTATTTTTCTAACATCCACCTATGTGGATCCTAAAGCACAACATTCTTACAGAACATTTCTACCAAAATTTCTAATATCTGTATACTATATGTGTAAGAGATTGTCATAATAACAACAATATATAAATATAGAAATAATATGGTAAATTTGAATTTTTACATTTGTCACCATTAAACTTCATATTATTGATTTTTCTTCTTATTCTCTTTTTTTCAGTTGCACAATAATCTCTGACTTTTGTTATATTTGTATTCTATTTATTTAATTGTTTTTACTAATGTATACCACACCTCTGTGAGAAAAGTAACAGAAGCCAAAAATATAAAAATTTTTAGAGATTCAGACTATGTACAAAAAATTATTTAATTTTTGAGTCTATCAATTAATCTTTTTTCATACACCACAGAAGTAGCCTTTTTTACATTGGTTTGAAGAAATCACTTCATAAAAACGAATAACAATAGGTAAAAATTTACAATTAAAAACGATCAGACGTCAGCCTTTCATTTTAGGTATCTGACGCCTTAACATTAAAAATTAAGTAAATCTTCTCACCAACTGCCAAGTTTTATACCATCTGTATCAGGTTCAAGCCCTCTTGTGGTGGATATGAGTTATCTTTCATTTGCATATAATTACAATTTCATGATGAACTCAGGATATTTATCTTCTAATTATATAATAATTATATAATAATTAGATGATAAATATCCTGAATTCATCATGAAATAAAAATTTTTCATGGGAGAGGAAAGAGAATTGTACATTTTGAAATTAACTATTTACAATGGTATTAAATATATTTTAAGTTAGTCAATCTCAAATTGCTTGTTTCAAGTTTCTGAAAGTAATATAGAAATTGATTTTGTTATGGTGTTATGTTAAACCCACCATACTCAGCCTGCGGGCCATGTGTGGCCCGCTGAGCTTTTGGGATTGGCCCGGACGTGAAAGAGAACAGAAAATAATTAGGTTGACTTCTGGAAATAATTACTACTTCTGGAAAGTAGTGCCTGATCAATATAAGACTGTAAAAAAGTGCTCAGATTTTACTTATGTTGTTCGCATCAATGTATCTATGTGAAACGTCATATTTGCAAATGAAATTTGCAAAGAACATATATAGGAACTGGCTTACTGATTCACACCTGGATGCCGTTTTACAAGTAGCATGCAGCAGTTACAAGGCTGTTTTAAATGAATTGACGGCCAGATGGCCGAGCGGTCAAGGTGGCAGCCTACCACTCTGGGGGACCTGGGATCGAATCCGGTTGGGTCAGGGAATCCTCCAGGAATTTTTTAGGGTGGTCCATTCGAATATGTCAGCCCCGTCCCACACCACCCGATCGCACCATTGTGGGCCTGGCCGAACCCATAATGGGCTTGCTATAAGAGGCCCTCTTAATGCCCACAGGGCGGAAGGAGTATAAAAACAGATTTAAATGAAATCATGAAAAAATGTTTGCAATATCAACAGTCACACTAAATTTCTAGGGTAAGTGAGAAATTAAGTAAGATTTTTATTATAATTGTTATGTTGCGGCCCGCGTTAATAGCTATCATGTGTATGTGGCCCTAGAGAAAACAAGGTTGAATATGGTGGTGTTAAACTGTTAAAAATTTGATTAGTAATTTTTCCCATTTTTGATTTATGAAATTCAAAGATAATAAAATAATTTATTGTTTTGCACTTTATTAAACTTTTATTTTAACTTCTATATATGATGTCTCTTTAATCCAAAAAGACTTGTTTGGTAGACAATCTCACAGCTTTCTGGGTAGAAACAGCTTTATTTTACAAATTGGATGACAAGTGCATTTTGGGTTGGTTTTAGTTCCCAACCCCTCTTCAGTGCTGTAGAAAAAAAAACGACAATTAAGGGCATGACATTACTCAAATATCATAAAAAAGATTTTTTTACGCTATGTAACAAACCACTTACATATAGATAAGGACATAAATTAAATTTTCTATTTCTACAATTGTATCTTCCATGAATATACATAACAGTTCACTATTTTAAATATAAAAATTCTTTATAAAATATAATTTTTTATAACATATAAGAAACCCTGTAATGTTAATAAAATGATTAACTACTATTCATACATTCCAGAAAACACGAAAAAGATTACCTATATTATGGACTTAAAAAACGTATATACAAGAATATCTAATAATAAAAATAAAGAA